TTTTACTTTAGTAAGGATGTGTGTGTGTGTGTGTGTGTGTGTGTGTGTGTGTGTTTGACCAAGGATTTCAATCAAAAACAGTTGCCTGAATAGAAGGCATAATTTATTTTTTAAGTAAAAAATCAATAGTTATTTCTGGATAGTAGCAAATGGAAAATGATTAGCATGTTGTTATACAATAATTCTATTTCAACCTAAATTCTGCATTTAGGATCCTAGGACTCTTCATCCGAGGCATTGAAGGAAACAGCAGGTGCAAGCGTGAGGGACTCTTTCAGGAAAATGAATGCATTGTAAAAATCAACAATGTGGATCTCGCAGATAAAACTTTTGCTCAGTAAGCATTTTTTCATTGTTTTATTTATTTTATTGATCCCTAGAATGGTTATAGTTATTACTGAACTCATTATGATCAAAATCATAGGGAGAATTTCCAGTCAGTTCCCTTTAAATGACTCCAAACATCCACTTTCAAATGCATTTTATGTTTTACTTAAAGATGGCCCACATATGTCTGTGACACCCCCAGGAATGTTAAACCTTCAAATATAGCAAGATTTTCTGCCAGGTTGTCTTGCTGTGTAATCCATGGACAGGTTTGTTTTTCTTGGGCTATGGGTCAGTTAGACTGGTATTTAATGGCTTTTTTCACAGACTATTAATTCAGCTTATTAATTAACTTATTTGATGTCAGAAGTCTTCCTTGAACTAAAAAAATCTGTGATAGATACCGATGAGGACTCAGTGAATGGAAGCATATAAAAAACTTAAAATTGAAAATGTTAGGAGAATCACCTCCTGTATGCAAGAATTGGAACATGTATCCTGATGCATCTGTATTTTTAAATGTGTGTTGGCATTGTGCTGGTGTTCCAAATTACAGGAATAAGTACCAATACTGCTTAAAAAGATTCAGTATCATCCCTTGTTTCTGACCCAAACTGCTCCTGATACATCTTCTCTCTGGGTCTTAGTTACATATTCTATGTGTGGGGAAAGGAGTGCAGCTCTAGGTAGAAAGAAAATAGATACTAGCTGATTACATGTGGAAAGAAATGAAACCTTAAGTTAATTTATTTTGTTAAAATAATGACAAAATTATAATAATTATTGTATTATGGGTCATGGTTTTTTTTTTAACAAGGACTTAACAGGTCTGCAAGGCAATCATCATCTCTATTTCATAGAAGTGAAAACTGAGGGTTATAATAATTTAGTATGGAGTAGAAACTGATTCACAGTAAGCAAAAATAACCTGTTAATATGATCAAAATATCATCATTTTCCATCTAAAATTAAATTGCTTTTTATGTATTCTTCAGTAATTATTTCTGGTTAGATTTTCAGATTTAAAATCTGTCACTCTTTGGATAAATTATTTAATATCTCTGAGCCTAAACTCAAATTTGCAAAATGAAAGCTAATTACATTTATCTTCTGTGGTTAAGAAGGGCAAATGAGAGTTACACATGGTCATCATCCATGTATAACCCAGTGCAGGAGCACCTGGAGAGTTGGTAGTGAGTGATAACTGGTACTTAATGCATATGGCTATATTGGTAGTGATATTGACATTGTCTCCTGTGCTAACATTGCTGAATGCTTCTTCTTGCTGCCATGCTGTGGTTCTCTGGAAGGCAGCTTGCTAGAACATCCTATCATTATGCATTTGTTAATTCTTTCAAGGGCTCAAGATATCTTTCGCCAGGCAATGAAATCCACAAATGTGCTCCTTCATGTGCTTTCACCACAAAACCGTGAGCAGTATGAAAAATCAGTCATTGGACCTCTTAACATTTTTGGTAACGATGGCATTTTGAGAACAAAGGTGCCACCTCCTGTCCATGGCAAATTGGGACTTAAGACAGTAAATCTTACAGGAACAAATAGTCCTGAAGCAGAGCCATCAACTTTCCTGCAACAAAGCAAGAGCCCCAGAGTACCAAGACTAGGAAGAAAGCCTTCCTCTCCCTCACTCTCCCCTCTCCTGGGGTTTGGCAACAAGAAAAGTGCAAAGAAAATTAAAATTGACCTAAAGAAAGGTAATTATTAAATTATGCTTAATAGCATTCTATTATTGTAACATGTAAAATTGGTTAAGAGAAATGCATTAAGGTTAATTTAGTTAATTCCCCCTTTATTTAATTGTATGAAAGAGTGGATTTAAGTATACTTAGGTAACTTAAAATTTCTTAAAATTGTCGTACTTTCTTCTCCTTTTCTCCTGGAGAGTATAGATTATTTGAAACAAGAAAACAATAAAGACATGTTGGGGAGTGGAAAGAATCATTGCAAACTTGATAGAAGCAGAGCAATATTGTGTTATAACTTAATACTAAATAAATACTAAAATTCAATTGTCCCGGGTTTCAGTGTAATTAGTGATTTTTGTGAAGATCTTTCAGATTTCAGTATATGACCTCTGGTTCTCTAGGACATCTTTTTTAATCAGCAAAAAGTTTACCCTTCAGAAAGCAAATATAATCACTTCTTGGCCTTTTGGCTAAGATAAACTGTAGAAAGCAAATATATAATTGCTAATTTCACTGATTCAATATTACATTTGTCCAAAACATACTTAATTTCATTTCAAAAGCATGTATACTCTTTTCCTTTTCATCTTTTTCAACTTTTCCATCAATTTTAAATGCAGCTGAGTAAGACTAGATCATGTGTGTATATGCATACTTATGTAGTATTACATACACACACAAACACACACATAAGCATTCATACACTTCTATGCTTTTATTCATTTTGTACCATCTGCCAGATGTTGTCTTCCACTGTTGCAGCCTTTTAAAATCCTGTATTTCTCAAGATAATTCAAAAGGAACCAAGATCTCATAGATTCTTGATTTAATTAATAGAGAATTTCATGATCAAAAGATAATTTTGGGATTCCTATGAATATATTTTTAAAATAGTATGTCTTTTTTAACTGTTTTGAAAAAATATTCTGATCAAAATTTCATTTACTTTTAAAAATACTATACTGGGAATAAAATTTACTGGGTAAGAAATACTCTGGGGTGCTTAGAAATTAAGATTTTTTATTGTTATTAGTTGTATTTTTATAAAAATAATCCAGCTGTATGTAAGACACAAGGCTGAGTGCTTTGATGACAGAAAGATGAATCAGTCACAGAATCACTTTAAAAATATATCAGAAAATCTTCCATAAAAAATAAAGAATATGACATCACAGCTCTACTTTGGGAAGATTAATCTGAAAACAAAAGATATACTGAAGACAGACCAATAAAGAGTCAGTAACTAGTGTATTGCCTCTATCTAAAAAATACAGTATAATATGTATGCCTTAATAAATGGATGGTTATAAGAAGGAAGAAAGAGAAATTACAATTACAGTATTGCTCAGATTTTCAGCCTGGGAAACTTGCACAATGGAGACACCATTGATAGAAATTAGAATTTTAAGTTGACAAGAGTATTTGAAAAGGCCAGCATCTGGATTGGAGAAGGGATACATGGTGAAGTTTGAGATACTAATGGTTGTATCTGGAAACTGACATTAGAAAGCAAGATTAAGAGCAAAGAGATCTAGCATATTCCACAGGGAGATGATTTTGGAGTCAAGGCTGACAAAAGTAAGAAGTCTAGTGGACAAATTGGTCCTAAAGAAAGCCTTAGGGACCATCTGTATATGTGTGAGAGGACAATGGTATAAGTTAGTGACATACATGAATGATCAAACAGGAGAAAAGTAATCAGAAAAAAAGACATAAAAACATAGGGAGAGTTAATTTCAGAAAATGATGGGAGGGAAGTGTCAAAGGTAGATAAGAAGAAAAGATAAAGGATAGGAAAAATTACTGGGTGTGATCAGGGATAGGTGTGTCAGTCAGCTCTTCATTAGAGTAACAAGATACCTGAAGTAATCTACTTAAAAAGAGGAAGTGTGTTTTAGTTCACAAGTATGTTTTAGTTCACAAGTGTGGAGTCCATGGTTTTTGGCTGGTGGCTTTTGGGCCTGTGGTGACATGGTTCATCATGGTAAGAACATGGGGCAAAGCAAGCATCCTACTGTGTAGCAATGGGGAAGCAAAGAAAGAGGAAGGGAAGGGACCAGGGTCCCAATATTACTGTCTAGGGTGTGCCTTCAGTAACTTAGCACCCTTCCACTAAGCCCCACCTGGCAGGAATGCCCCAGGCTAGGGACCAAGCCTTCCACATGTGTGCCTGTGTGGGATGCTTGTCCAAACCATAGCAATAGGTCATTAGTGACAAAAGCCTGAAGAAGCTGTAAGACTGAAGTAAAGCTTCTTTGGGGTAGAAACCTGAGCAAACTTTTAGGCAGAATGAAAAATATACTGGAAGGGAGAAACTGGAGATGCAAGTGAACAGGCCAGAAGCACCAAGGCTTTGCTGACAGGACAACAAATTCAGTAGATCAAGCATCAGAGCAGTGAGCCACACATTGGCCAGCTCATCGAGAGACTGACAAAACTCACTTTACATGGCCTTTTGTTTCTCAGGAAAGTGTGGTGTCAGGTTAGGGTTTATAGAGAATCAGTCTCCTGGTTATATAGATACATGTACATTCTTTTAGAATCTGAATACATCAAAGTGTTATACATGTATATTTGGCAGTATACTCAGTCTGATACAACTTTAGTCTGAGAGGAATTATAGCCTTTATTTGAAACCAAGACAACTTAAAATATGCAATGTAAATATTTTTACTTATTCTACAGTAGTCTAAATTCGGTCATTTTTACTCTAATATTGAATATAATATTCCACATGCTAAAGATGACTATGCATTTTATGGTTTTATATGCTAGGTCCTGAAGGACTTGGTTTCACTGTGGTTACCAGAGATTCTTCCATTCATGGTCCAGGTCCCATTTTTGTAAAAAACATTTTACCAAAAGGAGCAGCAATAAGAGATGGCCGCCTACAATCAGGGGACAGAATTTTGGAGGTAAGAATTGAAACTCATATCTTCAATAAAATATTTCTTGGGAAACAAATAAATATATAAACATGTACAGTTGTCTCTCAGTGTCTCTAGGGCCCTGGAGAATACTAAAATCTGCAGATACTTACATCCTTTATAGTATTGGCATATAAGCTAGACACATCTTGTACACATGAAATCTTTACTAGATTACTTATAATACCTAATACAAATAAATTCTATGTAATTGTCATGCTATATTCTTTAGGGAATAATTATAAGAAAGAAACCTGTTCATGTTCAGCACAGGTGTATTTGGTTTCAAACATTGCTATCTGAGGTTGGTTGAATCTATAGATATTAATTCCATGGATATGGAGGACCGACTATATATTAATATTTTATTTTGAATATAATATACACTGAAAATTATTACTTGTAGATAAGATAAGGACTTTAATTATAAGACTAGTTAATGAGCAGCTAACTTTGTAAGTTCCCAGTGAGGTCAGTGATATGGGGCCAAATAATAATGAAAAGTTTCTCTATCTTCTCTATTTACTTTCACCTTTTAGAGCCCATGGGGAATTTGGATTGAATCCAGAAGTTCATCATAAATTCAGTTAGGGTTAAGAATTTCAGTCACAGCCAAACCATTACAATAGTCCTTTAATTGTTTAAGGTGGGTGTGTCTGTGTTGCAGGTTGATCTATGCCTTGTCCAAACCTGTACTCAGCTAGTAATGGAAACAGTTATAGTATAAGGGGCTTTGCATAGAGAAGTTTTGCTATACCCATCCAACAGGGTTATTCTTTTTCTATTTATTTTTGTTTAATAGCCTCATCTTGATGTTTATATATTGTCAATTTGCTTTTTAAGAAATCACCTTCATTGATACTCCCTGGTGTCTTTAATTCTCTCATTGCATTAAAAACAGTACAACAACTTTTCCCTGTAGTTCTGGGTCAGGAAGCAATATGTCAAATGAGGAATGTAGCTTCAAATTGGAATATCCAGAAAGCTGTAAGGGTCTGCTATTGTTTCCTAGACATCCAGGAAACTTTAGAATTTTATTAAAATACACATATTTTAGAGGAATTTGCCATGTAATAATAGTTTACTTCTGCTTGTTATATTAGGCAGAAGATGGTGCTGTGTAAGCATTTGAAGTCTGTTTCCTACCTGTTTGACAAATCAATCTTGGTACTTGTCAGCTTGATTTTCCCCTCATGAGAATGTGCTGTCTTAGGAAAAATTGCTGGTACTAATTACTGATTGCCTGAGTTTGTCCAGGATGGTAATCAGGAGGGTGGTATGTTATTGGAAATATATTTGGGGTTTGCCTGTGGGTTTAGTGTTCATCTTCATAGGGCTTCACTGATCATGGGAGCCCATTATTTTGCTTCAAATAAGCACCTAGGATAAAAGGAAATAGCAAGTGGTTGATTCCAGCTGTTCACATGGTTGCATTCATTAGGTAAATGGCAGAGATGTCACTGGAAAGACTCAGGAGGAGCTTGTGGCCATGCTGAGGAGCACCAAACAGGGAGAGACAGCATCACTGGTCATTGCCCGCCAGGAAGGAAGTTTCCTGCCCCGAGAGCTGGTAAGGTTCAGATTCTCACTGAATTCTCAGTGCAGTTTAACACGCTCATTGAATTCCTAGTAGCTGAGTACTAAATTTTAAGTCACAAGCTTCATTAATAACAGAAATTGAATTTGAGTATTTTATCCCATTTGGGATATCATGCTTTTAGGGCCTTGATGCAGTAAGTTGGGGATATGGAAGCATATACATACTTATATATTTGGAAATGAATTCAAATACATTTTTATACTAAATACTGAACAATATTCACCTAATTCAATAAAATGTATATCAAGTATATGTTAGATTCTTCAGTAAGACATAGGCAGCAAAATAGTTCATGCCTTCTTGAAAAGGTCTAAAAGGAAATAAAAATATAACAAATATCCAGAGCAGAGGTAAAGCTTATGAAGGAGAAGTGTGTGAGGTGGTACAGCAATGCAAAACAGGATTTACCCTGTTCTTGAGGGCTGGGGAGGGATCCTGAGGAAGAGAATTCCAGATCCTATAAAAATGTCTGCTCTTTCCGTGAACAAGATGTGATTATTGTCCTATTGATGACCCTCTCCTTCCTAAATAAAAGTGGGGACCGAGGGGGGAGGATGAATTCTACCACGGTCCACACACCTTTGCACTGTCATCATTCTTAAGGACTCCAAAGAGCTGTTGTTCATGTGCTATAGCTATCAATGCTTACTGTATTAGAAATTAAAACCAAAAGTGGATCAAAATTTATACTAATGCACTTTAAAATAACCATAATAAACCCATGATCTGTTCCCATAAAAAATTCTTTTCTATATTTTCTTTAAAAAATGTGTGCTCTTTGACTGCACTTGTAGTAACTTGTAAGAGTGGTGAAAAAATTCATGTACGTTGATTTCTTTCCCCAAAGCCCAATCTATTGTAATGATATATTTGATGCTATACAACTATAAGGAATTAGCTAAATAACTAGATATTTCTCCAGTGAAGGATAATAAACACTTAAAATGGTCTCAGTGAGGAATTGTTAATAACATGAGAAAACATCCATAGTGTAATCTTATGTAACAAAGTAGGGTATAAAATACATATAGTGTGATCAAATTATAGTGAAAACCTTAAAAAATCTAATTAGAAAAAGATGGACCTGAAATGTTGGGAATTACAAGAGATTTTCATATACAGTTAGATCTCCAGAACAGTGAGCTTTGGTTGGGAGATTTGAGGCTATTTAACCTGAAGAAGAGAAAGTTTTAGAGATCTAGTCATTGTTAGAAAGCATGTAAAAATATATTACATTGATTGCAAAGTGGGCTTAATTCATTTCTTTAGATAACTTATATCCATTAATCTACTTATGCATTAATTCAGCAATTTACTGAGCATCTTCTTGGTTCAAACTTGGAGATGTCTAGGGATGCAGAAGTCATTAGAACTCATTTCCTACCCTCATTGAGCTTGTCCCAAAACAAATGGCTGGGAGAGGATAATGTTATGACAATTTTCCAACTGTTATACCTGTTGAAGAAGAAAATGTGCTGCTTAGAACATTCAGACACAGCCTGCCTCACTTTTTGCCAGTGGTGCTCTAGAATGATTTTCCAATGAAGAAAGTTAGGTAAGACTAAATAATCTCTAAGATACCTTGCAGTTCTCTGATTCAGCTATGCGTACATCAATCACCTCTTTTATGTATTAATAGTCCTTATATGGGCCCCTAAACCTTCTTCCATTTGCCATATTGCATTGGCATAGAATTCTGTTCTACCTTTCCTTATCTTTCCCATCATCTTGTCTGTCCTTCCCCCACTCTTGGCCTATTAAATGTTCTAAGGAGAATTGAAGTAAAATAGGGAAGGGAGGAAGAATGAGTGATCCAAGCCATAAGGATACAATCCTCACCTTCTTTCCTCCACTTGGTTCTTGCATACCCAACCATTCTGGAAGGCAGAATCTTGACTGTTATCTCATCTCCTCACTGAAGCTCTTACTCTTTCCAAAGAGAAATGTTATAGAAACTTTAATTTCAGATTATTTTTCTTCTGAATACAGATGGTTGTTCTTTCAATCCTTTGTTTATCCAAAGACCTTGGGCTTTCTCTACAAAGATCAAAGTGAAGACTAAAAACAGGGACACCATGTACCTATAGGAGGAAGCCCTTTCAATCCTTGTTCAGTCATTTGGTTGCTAAACATAAAAATCCAGAAAGCTTCAGTGGGACTATATCCTTTCTTCTGAGATAGGAGGAAAAGGGAAGAAGTTATGGCTGTGCATGCTGTTGAACTGTGGTCCCAGAAGAAATAAAATCTTGCTTTGAAATAAATTTTCCAGTAAGCCCTTGTGCATGCACACAAAAGAACCTAAGGACAGAACTCTAATAGGGAACTTAAACCCTCACAATCCTCCTGCTCCCTGTCTGATAGTGTCAGATGCTCTTCTTCCTTATATTCTCTAGAATTTCTGACTCCACAACTAATTCCTTTTTTCTAGCTTTCCTACAGCTAAGGAGGAAAGGAGACATTGACATTATTCCTGTTTGTAACCCAGAATGCATTTTTTACTATCTGAAAATTAGCAAAAGGAATAATATGATTTTCAAACCAAAAAATATACAAACCAGTGAGTCCAACTGTAATTTTGCAGATGAGAAAACAGAGCTCCAGTGTAGCTGAGTAACTTGCCCAGGGTCTCACAGTGAGCTGAAACCAGAGCCCCAGGTCTCCTAACCTTTAATATCGTCTCTGGACTTAACTCCTAAAATGCAGTTTTTGTGTATGCTGTGGTACTTAGCTGTGTGATTGTGAAACAGGTCACAAAATCATTCTGAGGCTCAATTTCCTACTCTCAATCATAAGTTTGTTATGAGGATTAATAGAGAGAATACATGGAAAGCTCTCAGCATCATCTCTGGGCAATTATAAGTTCTCAATTGCATTGTCTATAAGTGTTTCTTCTAGTATATTACCATTTCTGTAGTACCAAATACAGTACTATCCTTTAAATATATGGGGTAAATTGATTTATTCAGGCTTGCCTGGGACTAACCACTAATTTTTTAGCAATTATCATTATTATTTTAAAATGTATACTGGGATCAAAAATACAGAATTATAAACAAAACTTTTAAAACCATCCACTTGTAACTTTGGTAAGGGAGGTACTTTCTGTGTATTATTTCACTCCTATTTAATAGAATTTAGTGAAATTTGATTCCTGTCCCAGAAATGACATCAGAGGATGAGCCCACCAGGGAGCATATTAAATTAATTGTGTGACTATGTGATAGTGAATGTAAATAAGTTATTTGTCTTTTTGTAGTTTCATACAAAATACAGAGGACATGTAGTTAGTATTCAGACTCTTAGCACTTTCTGGCAAGTATCTAGACTGAAAAATATTTGACTGTCCACTATATAAATGCAAGAAATATTTTTTGTAATCACAGCAAAGCAAGAATCTTTGAGGTTTATGACAACCTAACTTGTGGGCCCTGAATCATTTTTGTTTTGGAGGAAAAAGGAATTTTTTTAAAGCCCTAATTCCTGCCTTGAGTGCTAAAAACCAAGAAGCATCTGGGAAGTTTAAAGACGGGTCATGTTTGCATGCATGGGACTACTTCTATGGGAATCACTTCATAGTGTGCCATATACTGCATGCTTTGAAGAACAGTGTATTATAGGACACATCTTTGCATTTGCCTTTCAAAAACTGGAAGGTGGTGTCACTTTCATTTCTTCACCCTATCATGGTTGATACACACACTTGACTTTCCATGGAAAATCTGGCAGGGTAAAGGAAGGACAGCACTTCCTGCTTTTGTTGTGTTCTATCTCTTTTGAAGAAAATAAACTCTGTTTATTTTTTTCCTATTCTGAGAAACTGTCCTTTTCCTTTTCTTAAAAGCCTTGCTATTTCATGAGCTCTATACTTGCTTTGCAGCATTGTTCTGCCTATTTTCTGATAGCTAAATCTCCTTTGCTTCCCTGTTATCATTAGCTTCTTGGAAAGTCTTAATGCTTACAGCCAAGGGAGCATGTGGTCAGCAGTTATCCAGGAAGTCCCAGTATAGGATCATCTGTCAGAAGTGATCCTCTGTTATTCCAGAGGCCTTCATATCCATTTCCTGGTCATTTCACCTGACCTGCCACCTAAGAGAACTATGCTGAACTCTTCTATTTGTTGGTCCCTGCCCTCCCTCCTGAGCAGACAGTTACATCGCAAGATGAGCAGCCTATTTAACCAATCTTTCAATCTGTGTCGGCCTGGGTTATGCAACACCACCATAACAATTTGGCTATTTCTAGTATCTACCCCTCCCCCCAAAAAGAAGAAGAAGAAGAAGAAGAAGAAGAAGAAGAAGAAGAAGAAGAAGA